GAGTCCCGATGAGATGGTTTTTTTTTTTCAATTGAACTAATCCTTCCAGCCGCACTATGACTCTGGAGTCGACTCAGCCTCTAACAGAAATTAGTACCAGGAATATTCCTGGGGGTAAAGGGCGGCCGGCGCGTAAGGCTGACAACCTTACCGCCATCTGGGAACCGATTGTCTAGATAATTCGGGACCTTCAACGTCTCACAACCCCATGGGCCTTCACGGCCTGTTCCACGGATAACTTTACCTTTTATGGATTTAATTCTATGTCACCGTAGGTGAGTTCAGCTCCTTAGACCGCGTTTTAAGTTCCCACAACAGGCTTAAGTCCAACGACGGGATCGTGTGAACTTGTGAAGAAGGCGACACTAATTATACTTCATGATGAAGTTATGTTTGGTACCGGAGCGGAGAAACACGTAGACCTACAAACTTTGTTGAGGTAATCACTACTCCTGAATTTAGGAGGTAAAGCAACGTGGCAGCCTTGCGAAACATTTCATTTAGGGCGTAGCTTTCGGTTTTACACCGATAACCAATGAAGTACTGGGATCAGGAATACCAACATGTAAGAAGACAAGTAATGCTGAACTTGGAACTACGAACAAGTTTGCAGATCAATGAACATTAGGCGTAACCTTCGCCCTGTAATTCAGCAATTACAGTCTTGGCGAAACCGCAAAACTTTGAGGTTTACTAGCGCCTCTCTGACAAATCCGACGTAGACGGAGTCAGAATTTCTAATTATCTAGGTATGCTGCAGGTTGGAGGTCGCGGGATCGAATCCCGATGAGGTCACCTAATACTTCCAGTCGCATTATGGCCCTGGGTGTCGGCTCAGCCTCTAACAGAAATGATTACCAGAAACCTTCTGGGGAGGGGGGTAAAGGGCGGCCGATTCATAAGGCTGACAAACTTATCTCCATTTGTGAGCCGATTGTCTGCAAGATGTGGGAGCCTCGACGTCTCACAACCCTGTGGGCCTTCACGGCCTGTTACAGGGATAGCTTTACCTTACCTTTACCTAGGTCTCGTACGCCTGTCTTCTTCTCATAATTAAATGACTAATAATTATACGCCGACAACTGCAGCAGAAACAGTAACATATTTCGGTATCCTGTTGCATATAATTGTCACTTACGTGTTTTCCACCGCCTGGTAATACAGTGATAGTGGAAAACAAGAGAAGGGAGTGTGACACTGAGGTAAGAGGCTCACAGACATTACAGGGGGGGGGGGGGAAAAAAAGTGCATTACAGGGCGGTGGAGAACAAAACGCACACAAATAGAATACAGAAACACGGCGATTAATATCGTTTGGAGGACCGCATCTGTGGTCTAGTGTTCAGAGTTCCTGGCTACAGATCCAGAGGTCCCGGGTTCGATTCCCGGCTCTACCAGAGTTTCTGAGAAGTAGTGGGTCTGGAACGGGGTCCACTTAGCTCCGTGAGGATAATTGAAGAGCTCGTTCAAGGAAATAGTGGGTCCGGTCTAGAAAACCAAATTTAACGGCCTTGGGGATTCGTTGCGCTGACCACGCGGCACCCCATATCCGCTAAAGTTGGCACTAACTTCGCCGACAAGCTGCGGTAGCTCGGTCGGTATAGTCCTTTTGCTGACTACAGGTCAGGGAGTTTGTTTTCTTATGATCATAAGAACATTAATACAAATAATAATCCATGTGAACCATATTTACAGTGCACTTAGTAAAGAAGGTTATAGCTACTAACTCAGAAGAATTCGATCCTATGACCATCTGGTTACAACTTAAGCACGAAACCCATTGTCTAAAGTAATACACTTTATTAGGGATGCTTGGTAGAATGTGCCGTGAAGTTGTCCATGTGCGTAACTAACTAAGCACTGCGGCAAGACGTATGGGGGAGTGGATGTATAGGTCCACGTATTCTTGACCTCTGCACTAGTTGTAGGTGAGTGGTCAGCTTCACGCCCCGGATAATTTATTTCCCAGTACCCATTGGCCATTCGGCCCATATTCAGTCGCTGTACCGATCGAGCTGTCCTGTCTCCTGATGTGACACATTAAAAATAGGTTGTATGTAGCCTGCACGCCTGCTCTGTAAACCAAGTTAAGCTCCGGAAATTTCATCGTGAATATTTGAGGAATTATTTACAGGAGGAATAATTTCTGGCTCTTGCGAACTAACTGCAGTGTGATAATATTAGTAACATTAGGCTCATTTCTGTTCTAGCTGCTCTGCACAAGCCTACGTGTCTGTGTGCTTACTAGCTCAATATGGGATAAGTTACGTAGAACGTATTTAAGCCAAATATTACTTTCTTCAGCTCTAATGATCTTGCACGACCCCCAGAGTTGTGGAACTGTGAAATATGGTCATGAGTCCCGCGGGACTCGGAACCAAGAATGACTTCGGTGGCGAGGGCCAGCAGCAATTTACCCGACCAGATCTGACCGCAGGCCCTATGCTTGTTCTAGTTATTAAACTTAGTTATAGTGTGTTTAACGACGCTGTCAGTAGCTCAGAATGGGCCTAGAGTCAGTAGGCTTATAGTAGCTAAATTATGCAGGGATTAATGAATAATAAACTGGAGAGGCAGGATAGCCAGTTTCCGGGCCGAGATTTGAACTCGAGACCACACGAATATTCTAAGCAGAAATGGTGTTCATTCTACCTTGACGTCCGATGCCCTGTACACTTCGATAAGTTCTGCAGCTGGAGGACAGTGAGAAGGGTCACGCGAAGTGGAATTTCTGCTCTTCAGTACGACAAACTTTATTGTCTGGAAAAGTCCAGCCAAAATGGTTGTATAATAAATAAGCAAAAAAGGTGAGGGTAGAGTTGTCCCTGTGCGTAACTAATTAAGCACTACGCCATGAAGGCGTATGGGGGAGTGGATGTATAGAGCCACATTTTCTTGACATCGGCACTAGCTGGAGGTGAGTGGTCAGCTTCACGCCCCTGCCGCTTTATCCCTGGAGAAAGAGCTCCCGATACCCATTGGATAGGAGGTTCGGTGGACCCCAGAGCCGGTCTGGACGACATGGAGAAGAGAAAATTTTTGACCCCACAGGTACTCGAACTCCGACCTCCGACCTCTCGGTCGTCCAGCCCGTAACCAGTCGCTATACCGACTGCGCTATTCCGGCTCAATTTTAAACAGGATCCTCTTTATTTCGAAAATAATGTTGGTTAGCAATAAACTGAAGTCTGGCCCGTGTTCTGTTTTAGAACTAAAATCTGCAGTAACTTACATGATGGCCGCGCCATAGCTCAAGCGGTTAGTCGCTGGCTTCTCACTGCGGGGGCTCGGGTTCGATCCCTGGGTCTGGTCAAGTGGGATTTGTGGTGGACAAAGTGGCGCTGGAGCAGGTTTTCTGCGAGTATTTCGGTTTCCCTTGCCAATCTTCATTCCACCAATTGCTCCACAAGCACCCTCACCTATCATCTGGGGCTGGTACAATAGGCCAGAAGTGGCCGCAGTAGAAGGGACTTAGCCCCACCCCACTAGTATAAAAAAACTTACATGATTGTTTTATAGCAGTTGTTTTTGTGAACATATTAAGTGGGTCTCTTGTCACCACGGCACGGCGCGTCCTCGCATTGCGAATGGAGGAGACGGCCTCCAGATATGGAGAGCAACTGAGAGTATACTGAATAAGCAATCGCGGACAGCCGACAAGGAGTGAACCTCACTTCCTTCGTTACGAAATGACCTCGGACGACTCGGACGGATTCTTTGGAACGACGTACGCGACGGAAAACGGACACGAAGTTTGGCACATGGAGTGTAAGGGGTGTCTACAGCGCAGGTTCACTGAAAACAATTCCAAGAGAAATACGTACACGTACATTAGGGAGGTGGGATGGAGTGGTATGGACTGGATTCATCTGGCTCAGGAGGGTTTTTGTGAACATGGTAATGAACGTTCGGGTTCCATGAAGTGTTGGATCTTTATTGAGTAGCTAAGCGACTGGCGGCTTCTCAAGGACTCAGTTCCATGGAATGAGTGAGTGAGTGTGTTACTTGCTTCGTAAACGCAGCGTATGTACGTGTATATTGAATTGCTCCAAGCTGCGGCAATTCGACAAACGTTTTCCGTAGTTCTGGGCGCAGAAATACGTAAAATACGCATGTGTTAAACGTTGTAGGCCTATTGGATTATTCAGCTAACTTCATGGAGTCGAGTCCTTCTTGAGACATTGATAGTCGCTCAGCTGGTCAAGAAATTACTCTCTTGGAATTGGAATCATTACCGTTCACAAAAGCCAGTTTTTGAATCCCGTCCTGATTAACACGAATCCAATCCCATATCCTTACATTCTATTATTGAAAATATTGTTAACTATTATCCTTCCATCTGCATCTAGGTCTCGGAAGTGATTTTTTCCGTAAGGTCTAACGATTTCCGTTTCAATGCGTGTCAGATCTTCCCATATGTGCAACATGTCCGTTCATCTCCCCCTCGTGTGAACTACACAACCTAATAGTACTTTATATAGCAGGCATGTCCAACTTCAAACAGATTGTTATCGACTTTTTAGTGTCAAAACTGCCAGTGATCTACCACCCCCTATCTACCACCTCCTATCGCCTTACCTCGCTTGAAGCAAAAATATTCGTAAAAATAACGCGACACATGATGTCTGTTGTAAAAGCAACATACATTGAAAGTACAGACTACTTTAATACGTGTTTTCCTTTCAAAATCTAAATATAATCACGTTATATTACAAGTAAATTTACATGCTTTTCACGTATATGCTTTTCCTTATAGGCCTATGAGATCACCAAAAATCGTCCCGCGATCGACGCGTTGGACATGCCTGGTATATACGAAGCTCCTCATTACGTAAATTTCTCAAGTATCTTGTCCCTTCCTTTCTTTCGGGTCTAACTGTAGAATAATTGAATAGAAATATCAGTTTTTAATCAATCAGCGTCCTTGAAACGATAAAGAGCTACTAGTATAGTTGTAATCACTTAACATTGTAAAAAAATAACGCTACTATTTCCCGCAGGCTTAGCGGCTGCAATGGAATACGTCTCGGCCGAGCACACGTCAGGCTTCAAAGTCCTACCGCCCGATGTCGCCACTGAGAACGCTGCCCTCACATCTTGTGACCCCTCTCAACAACACAACGAATCCGAATTCGAAAATGGCGAATCACTGGTTGTAGCTCCTCCTATTTCGAGATCCCCAGAAGCGGACAGTGGCTCTGAAACGGCAACTCGCGCATGCGTGAGCGAACCAGCACCTCCCACCACCACCGGCATCACAGCTGTCTGTAACAGCATTTCCCCAAACTACTGCCCCGTCGATTACCATACCAACAATGGTTACAGCGGCAAGTTACAGGACCAGGCAATAGAGGACGCCACTGCAGCGGAGGGGGAAGTAGAAGACCGCGAAGAAGTGGTGGATCCCTACCGCAGCAACACCAGCACAGATCAAGACAACCACCACAATGATAATGGTCTTTTAGCATTAGGGGGAGGCGTGACGAGTACTAGGAAGAGCGGCGTTAACCACCACCAGAACATTGTCCTCCAGGGCGAAGAGGGAGAACTCGTGAGTCTAGAAAAAAGGCGCTGCGTTAGGCTTAGAGAAGACACATTGTCTATCAGTGACAGCGATCGGCATCGAACAGGAGCGGGGAGCAGCGCACATCAGCAACAGGGTGTTACGGAAGCTGAGTCGCGTGTACCGTACTTGGACTTGAGAGTGATTCAGCAGCAGGGCCGATTTGTGAGTATCGAGACGACCAGCGATAGCCGCCTGCAAAACATTACTGATACAGCACTTTACGACCGAGAGGGTGTGAAGCAGGCAGCAGGGGGCGGTAGCAGATATCATCTCGAGCAATTGACAGCCGGACCCAACAATAATGACATGCCGTATTCCGCAACCACTTCGCCCCCAAATAATCTGGAAGACTTGTGCATGAGGCAACAGCAGCAGCATCTTGTTGAGAATTCATCAGAACACGGCGCCTCCGGAAACGTCGTGCTCACCGCTCAGCCACATCACAGTTTTCAGCTCCACGGTCAGGGAATGAGGATTCGCAACGATGCACTTCCTTTTGGAGCGTTATTTCCTCATTTGACCACAAATAAAATACTTACAGAGCAACATTTCAGCACTGCATCACAGGTACTATCGTTTGGTATACAAGACAACCATCAAAATAGAGACACCGAAGATATTATCGATAAAACTCGAAGCCATCACCAACACCATAATCAGATTAATGGTATTGATGACGTAATTCATGCGTCATTAAAACCGGAAGAAGAGGTTAATTCTCACGATTCAAGAAGCGAACGAAGCCACCATCAGCCTCCCCAACAGTATTTACTGAGCAGAGCGGGCTCGTCACCACAGCACCCAGACCAAGAGGAATATCTGCAGAGACACCAAGAATCGTCACCAGAACCCAGACGCAGCGCGTCACCAACAGACCATCACTTGCAGCATCACAGCAACGTGATACTGAGATGATGTCTGGTTCATAACAGTGGTGGAGGGGGCGGTGGAGGGGGAAGGACGCCGTTACTAGGTAACAGCAATCTCTCATCAGGTACAGCCAGTGCCGGCAACAACAGCAGCGGTAACACAACTTCTTTCACGCATCTAACAACTCTCCAACCATCTTCGTCGTCAACGCCGTCGCCTCTGGCACTTGGAGGAAATACGACGGCGGAAGACGGCGGTGGTGGCAGCGGAAGTGTATTGCAACAGTTGAGTCCTGCAGCGGACGACGAGAGGAACGAACATAGAGGAATGTACGCGACGACACCCACCTCGACACTTGAACATCACCACCATCAGCATCACCATCACCTGTCCGGGATTCATCACTCCGCGGGATTCCATCCGCACGACGCAGTCGCTGTCAGCAGTGGCTCGGCGCTTATGCCCTCTCCGGCTACCAATCTCACAAGGTAGGACTGTCGTCTTATATAGCCTACCTTTAGCAGCTTTTCACTTATCTTAGAGGGTCCGTGTTTATCAGTGTTCCAGCACATGATGTTCTGTATTTGAGTGGATACACATACAGGGAGGTCCAATTAATTTTGGACATGCCTGTTGCTATTATGAATTGTTCTTCTTACTAATTAGGATGATCAGTTAAAGTAGGAACGGGTGGGATATGTAGCACGCAAAGCGAGACGGTGAGAAATGTTTATAGGCTTAATAATTGTAATCGGAAAGAACAGATCTTGGGAGATGTACGTGTAGACAGGAGGATAATATTAAAATTGATTTCATATAAATGGCGTGGTGTCTGGATTAGGTTCAGCTTGCTCGGGATAGGATCTTGTTGCGAGCTGTTACGGTAATAAACCATCTAGTTCAATAAAATGTGAGTCACTTTGTGACAGACTGAGGGATAATCAGCTTCTGAGGAAAGATTCTTCACGGAGTCAACAGGAGAATCAGCTGTTGCTTATATAAATTAAACTAAATAGTAATAATAATAATAATAATAATACGGAGTGTGCGCTGTTTTATATGATGGGCAATTCAGCGTCCCATGTCATTGTCCTGGACACTATAAACATATATTTTTTTTTTGTGCATACGTGATTTGAGAGCATTTCCGAATGTTCTAGTTGTATGCCAGGCCTACTTTAGGAGTGACATTCACTCTGGCTCCTGGACACGTTCGTGGTGCTATAGCACACGTAAATCTTACATACTCGTACGTTTTCGATTGCAGCAGAAAACAAGCCCAAAATCTCTTAAAGCCTTGGTAAAATCTTTTAAAATTGAGGTTAAAACTACGTAAATGGCCTGTGTTATTGCTGTAAACCTGATTGTATTAAAATGTTTCTGAAACTTAGGTTTAATTGACAGAATAATGACTCGCAGATATCAGAACCTGATCTCTACTGGGATGAAGACAAGCATAGTAAAGCAATTTCCCCTTCTCCCAAGGACTGTTCACTTTGGCGGACCCTGATCTTTTTTTTTTTTTTAAAGATACTGGCATTTCTACACGCAGCAAGACTCTCTGGATAGTGGACCAACAGGTCCCAGAGTATGAGGAAATACGTGAAAGCGCATAATAAATACTGCGTGTTTCAAGAGACATTTGAACTCGCGATGATGACGCACATGCGACTAGCAGCGTACACTCGGCAATTGTGATAGGATAATTTTATGTGTAAATTTACGCAACGGTAAAGTTACGGAATTTTTCTTTGTCACGTGACACGATGTATTTACCTTTTTATGTTAGGTCTGTTCTCTGGAACCAATGCTAGTGCGTTCGGTTCTGTACGCTTGTATGACATTTCGACTGATGGAGCCCGCACGCAGTTATGAAATTAGGCCTAATATATGTATTAAGAGGTGAGAGTCGTGAGGAGCCGCATATGCGTGAACTGGGTGTAGCAAGAACTCCCGTGTTCACTCCGTTTCCATTAGCTTACCACGAACTTACACTCAAATATCACTAGTCTCTTTGTCGCTCGATATGTGAGTGCAGGCAGTCCATGTGGATGCATGTCAAGGGCTGCTTCAGCTTGTCAGGTAGGCTTAGAATTGAAGTTTATTTTCCGTCACTTAATTTCGAAGTTCACAGATCGCAATTAAGTCCACGATGTTGTAGTTTTAACTCTTAAGTAAATAAAAATCTATTATGGCCCGCTTTCTTATCGCGCAAGTCATTTAAGAGATTATGAAATTACAAAATTACAGATTTGTTGTAAAATTAGATATACAAGAACTCTGTTTATCTTTGAGATTCAGGCTGTTGGTCCGTGTTATGTTAAAAGGCAACGAGAATTTAACTTTTAATTTAAGTATCTGCATGACACGTGTACATAGAGCCGGGATAGCGCAGTCTGTACAGCGCCTGGCTACGGGCTGGACTGCCCAGAGGTCGGGGTTCGAATTCCAGTAAGTGCAAGATATTTCACCTCACGTCGTCCCTCCCCGCCTCATGTTCAGTGGGAACCGGTGGCCCTTTTTTTCAGGGATAAAGCGGCCGGAGCATCAAGCTGACCCCTCACCTCCAATTAGTGCAGAGGCCAAGAATACATGGATCTATACATTCACTCCCCCCATACATCTTCACGGCCTAGTGCATAATTAGCGAAGCACAGGGATAACCTTTTCACGAATTAGTTAAAGTATGTTCTCACGATTGTTATACATAAAAATGTGCCTAAGTGATTGCTAGCGTTAGAAATTGGAAATTATTCAGGAAGAATAGTTTCCCAGAGGAGTCAGATACACCCGTCTTCATCGCCTTAAAGGAAGAACACAGATGGGGGTGTTTCAGAATTAGATGCCAAGGGGAATATTTGGATCCAAGAATGAGGAAATAGGAAACTAGGGAAAATTGCATTGTGAGGAGCTTTATAATCAGTAAGTTGTTCCCCCCCCCCCCTTTGGCACTACAGCCCCAATGGGCCTAGGCCTACCTCCATGAACTTCTCCGAATCAGTAAGTTACTTTTAGCAAATATTATTAACCTCAGAATGCTAGACATGGACGGGAGAATAAATGGGTACCGGAGGCTCTTGGGGGCAAAGCGGCCGGGGCGTGAAGATGACCACTTTCCTCCATCTAGTGCCGAGGGTCAACAATGGTGAAGCAGTGCCTGTAGTCTCGCATAAGTTATCATGCCATGGTGCATAATTAATTAAGCACAGGAACAACTTAAACTTTTTTCTCTTGGGCCCTGGCATCTGATTTTCAGTTTCATGATCATTTTACAGAGGGTAGGACTCATTGGACGAGTGAGCAGCTCGTCGTAAGGCCTGTACCTAAACACATGACAATACAGACACAGAATAAACACTCACACATACCAAACATCCACGTCTTATGTGGGATTCGAACCCACGATCCCGGTTTGAGAACGAGCAAGGACAGTACATGCCTTAGACCGCTCGGCTACCGTGACCGGCAAATTTAACTTTACCTGTACCATACGAACGTAAGAAAGTATGGCTTTAGTTAGGACAGATCTTAGCCCTGTCATAACTGACGTTATGCAGAATGTCAGATTTAAGAGTAGATACGTTCCTGTGCGCTGTTGCGGCAGAGGGGCTGACACTGAATGCCCCGCTCCGGGAGGATACTCCTATCTCGAGACGCTCTGCACGTGAGTAATTAGGCCTACGTTATAAATCGTGTCAGTAATATTATTAGCTTTATTCTAATTCTTTAGCCGGTCACGGTAGCCAAGCGGTCTAAGGCATGTACTGTCTTCGCTCGCTTGGAAACAGGGATCGTGGGTTCGAATCCCACTCAGGGCATGGATGTTTAGTTTGTGTGTGTGCGTTTTTCTGTGTTTG